GGTTACTGCACTCCAGTCTGGGCAACAGAGTGAGACTCCAACTCAAAAAAAAAGAAACAAGGTCTCACCCTGTTGCCCAGGCTGATCTCGAACCCCTGGGCTCAGGGAATCCTCTCGCCTCAGCCTCCCAAAGTGCTGGGATACAGGCGTGAGCCATTGTGCCCAGCTCATCAACATTTTTAATGTTCAAATTTACCTTGTGTGTTTTGAACGTCGGCACTGAATTCCCATCACTAGTCACAATACCAGCACTCTCTTGACCCCTGTGAACATAAAAGGACATTAACTGTAATCAGCTCTATTGATCAGCTTCTTGGAGAACTTTATCAAACACACCTTTTTCAACAAGCAACTGCGAACTCAGTGTGAGAAGACATTAAATGTCACTGGTAATTAGCAATAGCAGCAGATGACATAATAATTAGATATGTCATCTAATCCTAACTGATATGCCAGGTACTGTCCTACACATTTTACACTGTGAATATAAATATAGTTTAAAAGCTGTTGGAACTGCGAATATACTTTAATTCTAGAGGGACCTGACTGAGATCTGAGCGCCATGTGGTTACAATTTTTATTTCACAGATTGTAGATTAACTCACTTTGTTTTTCTTGTTCTATACAATGATTAGAAAGACTTAAACCACCAGGGACGAAACCTCCTGCCTTCTTAGTTAAGGACCCTTGTTAAAGATGAACATCTCTTTTGTTGTCTAGCCTTGCTTAGACCAGATGACATGACCCATGGTTATTATATCCTCCGTAAAAAGTGGGAATTGCAACCTTGTAAAAAAGAAACACAGCCTGTAACCAATCAAATTGCTGTAATTATGCACCAATCTTGTATGGAAAATGTGGTAATCCTGCTAAAACCTCCTCTAACTCCGCTTATATAAATGAAACCTTAACTTTCCTACTTCAGAATGCTGACTGCATTCTTTGGAGTTGGTGTTTCCAGGTGACAAATCTTCAAACTTCGTGCTCTAATACACTCTAGGTTTGGGATGACGGCCTCCTGCCTGCCCCTATACCCTTGTCCACAAGGAACAAAAAGTGTCCAGGTGCGATCCTTGCTCCATTATAATACTAAAATCCCACCCTAGGAGGGGCTTATCTGTTATTTTTTGTACACGTAATATAGGAAGACCCATGCGTCTATACCGTGTTTGCTGGTTAAAACTCCTCTGCAATCATGCCAACATACCTCACCTTTGACACTGCGTATACCCCTTTCCTTATTTAATAAAAGGTCCCAGGCAGCCCTGGGGAGAGGTAGAGAACTCTTCTCCTGAGCTGTCTTCCTTGTACAAACCCCAGTAAAGCCTTGTCTGGAAATCTGTTGAGTCAATTTCTCTCTCTCTTTGAGTCAGGGTCTCATTCCATGGCCCATGCTAGAATGCAGTGGCACAATCACGGCTCACTTCAGTCTCGCCCTTCTGAGCTCAGGCAATCCTTCTGCCTTAGCTTCCTGAGTAGCTGGAACTACAAGCATGCACCATCATGCCTGGCTAATTTATTTTATTTTATTTTTATAGAGACGAGGTCTCGCTATGTTGCCCAAGCTGTTCTCAAACTCCTGACCTCCGGTCAACTTATGTAAGAGTCTAAGAACCCGCCAAGGGTAACATATTTCTTGATGACTTGCAAGGAGTTAGGACTTTCTGCCACTCTTTGGGGGAGCCCAAGTCGACGGACTGCTGGATAGAACTCTCCCCTTGGCTGACATGTGGCCACTCTCCTCTAGTTTTCTGGGGTCTCTGTAATCCTACCTGACATTGCTTTCCTTTTTTTTCTCCCAATTCTCTCCTCCTTCTGCTTTTGTTGGTTTGAGTCACCTTAATACATTTGTAAGGTAAGGAAGGAAACCGCCGGCTCCCAGAGACTGATCACCCCAGTGGGCAGCAGAACAGACCATACCTCCTCTAGCTGGCCCGTGCAGGCTGAACAGCTAGCTGCTGGTGCTTTGGCTTTGAACTTTATAGTTTTATTTACAACTCCTTGGTACTTCGCCTCTCTCTGCAACTCACTGTGGGGAGAAGAGGTGTGTGGTCTTTTTTAAATGTTAGCCTGAGTGTGCAGTCCTGGGGGTTCTGTATGTTGTCTTTGTGAGAAAATGAACAGTACGTGGGTCTAATCCTTGTGTAATCTCCTTCTCTTTTTGTTGGTTTGATATGCCACTTCGTCTGTTGTCACTCAGTCACCACCAAGCACAGGCTCCAAGACAGTAGGCCTTGGACCTGGTATAAGGTTGAGAATTTTGCTATACCTTTGGGGAAAAAGACCTCATACTAAGATAGACAAAGGAGTGTACAGATAGCCTAGCAGCCATAAATCCCTGTCACACTGTCCTTTGCCAGAAGAGATGAGGTCCAGAGTAAAACCCCCAGTGGGACAATAACAGGTGAGAATGGGTCATTTTGTTACCTGCCTGTCAGAGGCAACAAAAAGAACATAGTAAAGTCCATAAACTATAATATTAGAGAGATCTGTCAGGAAAAAGATAAAGACCTAGTGTGGTTTTCCTCAACTAAGTCACTGAGGCTTTTAGAAAGTACAGCAATGCTGACCTAGAGGCAGCAAAAGGCAGGACGTTCCTTGCCACGCATTCCATTCCTCAGTTGGCTCCAGATATCAAGAGAAAGTTACAGAAATGGAGGCAGCATCCCAGACTCAGCTGTCAATCTTGGTAGAGGAGGCCACTGAAGTTTTCCATGAGATAGGACAGAGGAAGCTGATAAAGAAATTGGCCAAAAAATTGCAGCTTTCGGTTGACACAATTAATCTGCCACCTCAGGGTGACCTGAGGAGTCACAGAAGACCAGACAACTGACTGGGACCTGCTGCCTACCCTGTCCTGACCCAGAGTGTCTGAGCCCTCTCCAACTGTGATTACGTGGTAATGGAGATAGATTCACAACCCAGGGAGGCAGGTTACTGTCCCTCTCACAGGCAAGGCCGAGTCCAGTATTATTACTTGTTCTTTTACGTCCCTGAATGTTCTGTCCCATTATGTGGAATGTGCCCATAGGCCCAGCTACTTGGGAGGTTGAGGCAGAAGGATCGCCTGAACCCAGAAAGTCAAGGATGCAGTCAGCTGAGATCTGCCACTATACTCCAGGGTGGGTGATAGAGTGAGACTCTAACTCAAAAAAACAACAAACAAACAAACATGCTTCCCCTACACCCCAAAATCAAGGACCAAGTAAATGCCCCAGTATGGGACATTTATGGTCTGGGAATGAGCTAAGGAAGCTCCCCCAGAAAGAAAAGGCCTAAGACCTGTGTAAACTACCCATCAAGGAAATAATACTCCCTCAAGCCTGAGACAGTTAGAGGGATTCAGGCAATGCTATGTAAAATTTTAAATCATGGAAAGATCAAAGGCATGCCAGATTTTCTGGGATTTCAGCTGGTGTTATGCCCTGTTTATACACACATTTTATTTTATTTTTTAAGTTGGAGTCTCACTCTGTCGCCTAGGCTGGAATGCCATGGCACACTCACGGCCACCCCAGCGTTGACGTGCTGGGCTCCAGCGATCCTTCCACCTCAGTCTTCCAAGCAGCCAGAACTATAAGCACGTGCTACCATGCCTGGTTAATTTTTTTTTTTTTAATTGTAGAGACGAGGTCTCACCAAGTTGCCCAGGTTGGTCTCGAACCCATGGATTCAGGCAATGCACTTGCTTTGGCCTCCCAAAGTGCTGGGACTATAGAGGCTGAGCCACCGAGTCTGGTTGTACACATATTTTGAACTGCTGGATAAATTACAGCAAGGAGGACTGAGACCTCAATGGTTAACCTGCAACTATAGGTTTAAGTAGGCTCTTCTAAAGCTCATAATCTACTTCTTTTTTTTCTTTTCTGCTTATTGAAAATGTGCTGTTTTTAAGCTACTAGTGTTAAGATAAAACTCACTGTTTTAAGGTTACCGGGAGATTTTGTTTTTCTTATACCGTTCAGCCAGTTCTAGCTAAAATGTGAACATTGAAAACTCATGTGAGACGGGGCATAGTGGCTCATGCCTATAATCCCAGCACTTTAGAAAGCCCAGGCAAAGCCGGGCCCGGTAGCTCAGCCTGTAATCCCAGCACTTTGGGAGGCTGTGGTGAGAGGACTGCCCGAGCCCGCGGATTCGAGACCCGCCTGGGCAACTTGACGAGACCTCATCTCTACAATAAATCAAAAAATTAGCCGGGCATGGCAGCGCGCGCCTGTAATTCCAGCTACTTGGAAGGCTGAGACGGAAGGATCGCCAGAGCCCAGCAGGTCGAGGCTGCGGTGGCCGGGAGCGGCCACTGCACTCCAGTCTGGGTGACAGAATGAGACTCCAACTCAAAAAAAAAAAAAAAGAAAGCCCAGGCCAGAGAGCTCAGGAGTTCAAAATCAGCCTAGGCAACAGTGTGAGATCTGGCCTCTACAGAAAATTAAAAAAAAAAGAAAGAAAGAAAGACAGAGAGAGAGAGAGAGAGAGAGAGAGAGAAAGACAGACAGACAGACAGAAAGAAAGAGAAAGAAAGAAAGAGAAAGAAAGAAAGAAAGAGAAAGAAAGAGAAAGAAAGAAAGAAAGAGAAAGAAAGAAAGAAAGAAAGAGAAAGAAAGAGAAAGAAAGAAAGAAAGAAAGAAGAAAACAGTTGAAACTGATTTTTTTAAAAAAAGGTAAAAGAAGGTTTAAAATCTGTCATGGAAACTGCTTTATCAGGGCAAATAAAGTTTAGTAAAAAGGTTCCAATTTTGTCAGAGATATATTTGGATTCGGATGTCTTTTGTAAGATGGCAAGTTTATCCTGCTATCTCATGGCTAGAGTTCCAAGGTGAAAGTTGCTGGATCTCTACTTATATGCGTGTATGTTTAAATGTGCTTACAGATATGTACATGTTATGTGTGGTATCTAGCATGCTATCAAATTGGCTCATAAATGAGGGCTTATAAGTCTAAATGTTTTCCAAGTTCACGTGACTTTACTGATCCTTGGAAAAGAAAATGGTTTTAAAATTAATGATTACAGAAATGTTTTCAGAATTGTCAGCATACATTTTTGTCTGGGTTTATGAACTAGCTAAGTTTAATATTTGCCTTGGCTGGATATTTTAAGTGGCCAGGTTTTGGCATAAAGGTTATGAGATGATAAACCCAGTGAAAACTAGAAAGACCTCTGTGTGCTTTTTGGACAAATAAGACATAAAATTATATTCTTTTTTTTGAGTTGGAGTCTTACTCTGTCGCCCAGACTGGAGTGCAGTGGCCACTCCTGGCCACT